AAATATTTTTTGTTTCAAATGAAGTATAAGGCGGGGTACAATGGTCCAAATTGATTTTGAGCAATTAGATTGTAAAAATCAAACCAATTCAATTGCAACAAATAACACATATCAAACAAACAACTATCAGACTATGTACAGTAAAACAACTAATTCATCATTTTAGAAATATGTTTTTTGCTGTTTATCAAAAATTTCCCACCTGGTCCTTCTTACCCCATAGGAGGAGTACAATGGGACGGCCAGGAGGCAAGCGAGTCTAATTATTTTCATTTTTAGTTTTAGTCTAATTATTATTTTTATTTAGAGACAACACTCATCTTGATCTGTTGTTTTGTGAGAAATATTCATCAGCAGAGTTGATATAACTATTTATTTAATTAATCTCTTGTGAAATTGCTTTTTATGACTGAATTTAATTTTTCATTTACTATTTTTGTCCACATCTTGATAGGGTAAAGTATTAAGTTTTCTTAAAAATTATTAAGGTCTTATATAAACTAAACAACAGTGTTCACAACAAAAAAAAACCAGCAACGAAAGAAAATACTTTTGTTGCGGGTTTTCAAACATTGTCGCCTATCTCCCATAACAACGTCGTAAGAAATCAAGGTGATGACTGGTTATAGATCTTTTTCCCTCTACTTTCAAATATTGTTGTTAAAAAATTCCTAACTTTACTTCTTTTTGAAATATCCATTTTGAGTTGCTCGACCTTTTTTGGAACCTGCAGACCTTAAGCTTCTCTCTTCCCCATATCAAATTTTTATGTCAGTTTTATTAAAACATTTTAAATAAAGTTGCACTTGATCACACAATTTTTGCGCATGCGTTCCTATGCGAGCAATCCCAGAAATACTCATGCATTACATTTGATTAGTGTGTGGAAAGCACTAACACAGACAAAGGACACTAACACATTCTCTTAATACGGTCAATGGGGGAAGAATATAACACGTTCGAAATTAGTGTTGCGTGTAATAGCGTTTATTAATAATTATTTAAAACTTTACATTTTCTAGATTATGAATTCAGTTTAATTATCCAATGTTTTTATAAAAACTTATAGTTTTTTTATATTCATTAGTTGAAGTATACAATTTTTTTTTGGTTTCTAAATTAGTAAAAAGATAATAATTCAAAATTCTTAACAAATATTTTCATTCTGCATTTTGCATAGCGCAAAAATTTGTTTGACTAACAATTTGTTGCAAATATCAATCCACGCGTCCAATTTTAAATGAAGATTATATTATTTTCATTCAAGTAACTTAGATTATCAAAGTAATTCGTAGAAAACTTTATTGACATCGTTTAATAACTTATTTCTCTTTATTGCCATTGTTCACAATTGGGCTTTTTTACTATTTTTCTGTTTTTCTGTACTAAATGAGATAGACATTTAAATTGTAAGCATAGTATAAAAAAATTACTATATATATATTACTTTATTATATAAGGGTGTATTGCATATTTTAAATATAGCTAGTGAAAAAATAAATGATCCAAATGACGCATTCAAAATGTAGATGGGAGTAATTGGTGAGTTTGAAAGAAAATATTACAAAAAGTATTCAGTTTTTAAAAGAAGTAAATTTAACATGAAGTAAAATTGTTTTGTGGGCCATGAGTTAAAATGAACAGTTAGTTTTTACTTAACAAATAGAAATAAATATATTCTATTAAATTATTAAATTAGTTATTTATTTATTTTATAAGTCGTCAGTAATAAATGATGTGTATAATAAGGATCCCCATTTAGTTTAATTAATTATTTATTATTTATTTAATAACTCATTTTCTATATACTTGTTTGTTTCAGTTAAAGTGTTTTTACATTATTGTTTTTTATCAAAAATAATAAGTATTTTTGCAATATAATTATTTTGCTTAACAAATTTATAAGTATCTTTACTTTATATTTTTTTAACGAATTATTAGTATTTTTACGAATATTAGTAAATTATTAGGTATTTTTATGATATAAGTCATATACGTATTTTATCATAAAAAGTAAGCTTTATCATAGTATGTAAGTTACATTGTTAAATAACGCAATGATGATAAGATAATAATTATAAGCTATCAAATTTAAGTATAGTTTAAAATTAAATTAATTTTGGCAGGCTAAATAATAGAATTAAAAACATATAAAAAATACCTCACAAAAATTATTCTGTTTTACTTACTATACAAATTTCATTTGTGTAAGTAGATGTTGTGGGTCATGTTTGACATTATTGGGTGTACAAATCATGTGCATATATATAGAATTGATATTGACGTTTCAGAAGTCCATTCTTTATTGATAATAGAATTTTGAGGTAAAAATTATTATTGCACAAAAATTTCGCACAAATATTATTTAGTATCCCTCTAAGTTCCTTAAATCTTTACCATGTTTACAAAATATTATTTCTAGATCTATTTTAATAAACTAGTATTTGTTAGCAGAATTAGCAGAATCTACGTTTTCCATTTATTGTGTGATTATAAAATAGCTCTAGCTTGAAATTTCTGCACAGCACGATAAATCATAGCGAAAGATCTACACTTGACATTGCAACGCGTTCATGATGTAGAGTGCATTCACATTATATATCACACAACCAATAATACAATACATGTGTAGTATCGCTGATGGAGCATTTGTGATTCGCATACAATCGTGCTTTTACCTACAAAAAACTCCACGCTTCTAGGAGAACGCGTTTGTATACCACCTGAGACTGTGTGCATGATTTGCAAAAAACCAGCTAGGGATATGGTACTACGAAATATGTACATGGAAACTATATATTGATCATTTTTCTCAATATGAGTTGAAATTATTATGTTTATATAGGTTTGTGATTCAGTTTATATAATTCTTATGAATATTAGACAATGTTACAGTATTTATAATAAAATCCATTTGAAAACATTTAATATTCCTCAACATTTTGTTACGGTACGGGAAGTTACAGCCATTTGCCTTAAGGCACGATGCCATACACCACTAGTTTACTTTTAGGATGATATATCACGCTTTCGATTTCTGCTCTCTCTTTCTCTATTTTCTTTCAGTCTCCAATTATTTCTCTTTTTTCTGATTCTTTCTTCTCCCAATTATTACTTCTTTTTCTGATTCTTTCTCTCTCCTATTTTTCTTCTTTCTCTCTATTTTTTTCGATAAAACTGGTATTGAAAGTGCATACACGTAATATGCAATATGCTTTAAATTTAGTACATTTGGCTCACTTTTTATAAATAACACATAAACAATATTATTTTATCTTATCATTTCACTTAATATTTCTATAATATTTATAGTTATTACATTTTTTAATTTAATTCAATTTTATTTTTTTATTGGTTTTTTTGCTTTTAATACATCATTAACACGCAATCTTTAATTCTATAATATTCTTTAATGCTGTTAGTTAATCTGTTTTTCAGTTATTCGTAGCAAACTTCTCAACATGTTTTTTCCAATTCATAATCTCGTTTTAAAATGCTGAAATATATCTACTGCAAAATGTGTAGTAGATATAGTGCTAAATTTAGTAAAGAAAATTAAATCCTGTATTAAACAGATCAGTACAGATTATCTATACTGTACCAATAGCTGTAAAGACTGTACATGACCCTTAAATGGTTACAACAAGTATGGTTTAATAATAATGAAGCAAAGTATTTATTCAATTCATTTAGTATTATTCAGTGACTATCTAACAATAATGATGATGATTCTTAGCAAGTCTCATAAGATATTTTCTTGCTCCATATTTTAACAATATTATACCAAAATTTAATTAAGATATAATTTAGTACATTAATAAAAGGTGAACCACTGGGTTCTCCTTTTAAAATTCTATGTTATGTTT